CCAGACAGCTGTGATTAGCATTGCAAGGCTCTCTTCATATTCTGATAGCACTTCCAGTAATAAATAAACAAACAAACAGGTATTTCAGCAAACTTGTAGCACTCTGCTTGGAGTAATTACGAGCCACCTTATTCTATATGTGCCACAGAGTAGAAACATATTTTTATTAATTTCTTTTTCCTGGTGGGAAAAGTTGAAATATGGGCAGAGCATGTCTACTAAGCTAGATATCTTAATTTTATTCCTGTAAAATTAATATCTCCTACTGTCGCTGAAAAGAAAATAATCATATAATTTAAGGAATAGAAAAATGCTTGTGCTGACTCTTCTCAGCACATTGCATATTTGCTGAGTTGTGTTCAAAATGCACATGGGTAAAATTAAGTAGAGAATGTTTGTTTCTTTATTAAAGAGTTTCTTTTCTCTCTTGCTGTTCTTTTTCTCAACCCATATTAATTTTATGTACTTGGTGTTAGTCAGAAGACATCACTGTAAAAACTCCCCTTAGCACATTTGCATTGATGTGGGATCCCTAAGCTGTAAGGACCTTGACCTTTTGCTGGGAAAGTTTATCCACTTCATCCCGTGCTATTTTCCAAGCTAGTTAAAAAAAAAAAAAAAAAAAAAAAAAAAAGGCATCTTTTTATTGCTTGACAGAACCTCCTCCTTGAAAACCCTCCAGCTGTTAACTTGCACAAGTGCAGCTGAGGCCTCACTGGTGTGCTGGAGCTGATGGGGACAATGCCCAGCCCTGGTGCTGGGATTTAGGTCCTTTCATCCCTTTGCCACCCACACGTCCCTGAAATAGGATCAACCTTTGTGGAGTGCACTGAGAGCAGAGGCAAGGCAGGTTTGATGTACAGAGCACGGTGCTGTGGGAGCAGGTTGGCTCCAGGAGCAGCCACAGCAGTGCCAGAGCTCCATCCTGGCCAGAATTCCCTCCTTTGATGCCATTCTTCTCTTCTCAAAGTCCTCCGGGACAAATCTGTGAATTACCTTCCTCTGTCTTGCAGGGATCTGCAGCAGGCACAATTCAAGCAGCATTTAAATATTTATTTGTCATTTGCAGAGCATTATCTGAGCCTGACTGGCAGGTTTTTTACTTTGTCATTTGTGTATCTGTTCGGGAGCAATGCATGGATGGAATGTGAAGGTGACATTGCAGCAGGGACTGCTCATCCCTCTTTCTTTGTTCCTCCTCTGCCACCCGGGGATGCAGGAGCCTGGGAAGCTGCTGGTGCCATCTGTGGCATGGCCAGAGGCAGTGGGTGATGCCAGCCCAGCTCCTGGCTCTGCTCAGACACTGAGCAGCCCCAGCTGGACCCTGGGGTGTCTCACAGCATCTCTGTGCTCTGCTGCCTCTCCCCTTGCTGTGCCACACCGAGCTCACTGCGAGGCAGGGCAGGAGTGACCAGCTGTTGGAAATGTGAATTGCATTCCCCCATTCACCCAGGAGTCTGTCAGCTCCCTCTGACCTTCGGGGGAACTGAAAGACAGAGTGACTGTACTTGTGGAACATCAGAATAATAAAATGCCTTTGTAGCCCAGCCATGCAGACACTGTGCCCATACCCACAGAGGAAAAGATTCGATTTTAATTTCTCAGCTTTAAAAATCCCAACAGATTTACCATATCAGGGCACCTAACTCTGATTCAGGCCACAAGGTTTCTAGGACAGTCTTAAATCCCATTTAGGAAGGGTGCAGGTTTTTCCCTTATAGTACTCAAGGCATGCAAAACCAGCAGCAGGCTGAGTCTTCAGTGCAGACTGGAGACAGGTTTTCTCATTATAATTATTAACTGGTTTCAGTTATTCCTCTGTGAAATAAGCCCGTGGTCGATTTTGAAAGTTTAGGAACTTGCTGCAACCAGACAGCCCCCAGCAAGGGAGGGCACAGCTGTCTGTGCCTGGTCGTTCCACAGGGGGAATGATCCTCCCTTTTCCCTTTTCCCTTTTCCCTTTTCCCTTTTCCCTTTTCCTTCCCCGGGTGGGAACACCTAGAATGGAGCCCTCTGAGTGATAATTTTCCGTTCATGTTACAGAAGAGCCTTGGCCAAAATCCTGGAGAAGCTTCCCTGGGGAGCTGCAGCATCACTGCAGGGAGTGCTGGATGTGAGGAGGAGGAGGATTCTGGGGATTCATGGAGTTCTTTAAGGAAGGCAGTGGGAGGTGTCCCTGCCCATGGAAGGAGGGTTGGAATGAGATGGTTTGAAGGTTTCTTTCCATCCTGTGATTCCATGAGTCTGTGACAGCCCCAAGAGTGTGGAGTGAGCCCCTGGGCAGGCTCTGAGCTGAGGCTGCAGTGGGTGCACTTGAGCACAGAAATCAGCTCTGCCTTTGTCATGGGAAGTATTTCCAGAGATTTTGGGGAGCAGTGAATTCTTGTTGTTTAAACTCACCCTGAAACCACAAGAACTGCTATAAATTGGCTGGCTCTAATAAAGCCAGTGCTGTAAATCAGCTGATGGATACTTGTATAAATCTTGTATTTTTTCCCCAAGTTTTCTACACTTTTCACTGAAACAGTTTTTGATAGAAACCCTTTCCTTCAATCTGACAGCTTTTTTTTTGCCTGTCCTCTGTCCATACAATCCACTAATAACTTCAGCCCCACGGATCTCCTCTCCAGGAAATGCCATTAAGATTTTCTTTCAGCAAAAGTGAGCAGCCCTTCAGAAATCCTTTATCAGGTCTGGTTTTTCCTGTTGTGGTTTGCCTCTTGCTTTCCTTTTTATTTTTTTTTTTTCCCATGGATAGCTGTAATTTAAAGCTTACAAGATCGATAAGTCCAAGATGCACAGCATAAATGGGAGAAGCAGACAAACAACTGGTAAAGATAGGAGACAGCTGATGAAAATGAATTCAGCTATAAAGCATTTGAGTTACTGTTCTCTGCTGTGATTTCTGAGAGAGATTATAAAATAGGAGGAGGGGGGAGGTACAAATCATCATTCCCTCCTCCCTCAGAATCCCAGGCTGAAATAGTGTTGAATTTCTTTTTTTTCACTATGTCACTAAATAAACAGGAGATTTTTTTATTTTATTTTATTTTAAATTTGGAGGAGAGCTTTTAATCAATTGCAGGAGAATTGGCTTAATACAGAGCTAACTGGGGGAAGTGTAATAATGGCAGGAAGTCTGGACCTGATGCAATAACAGCATCTTGCCTTGAACTCCTTGAATGCAGCCCTGTGATAAACTCAAATCCTGAAAATGGCCTCTGTTCGTGGCAGAAGGATTTTTCCACTCTGCTTTGCAGCCCTGGTGATTCTGCATGGGGCTGGGTTGGGGTTGGCTCTGTTTTCCAGCCCAGGCATGTCTTGCAAAGCTTGGCCCAGGCTGGCACAGCTCGGCTGGGCTGTGCCCAGCTGGCACAGGCTGTGGCTCAGGCAGTTTGCATTTGGCATTACAAATTGCAGTCACATTGCTTAGGGGAGGTGCAGGCTCGCTGAAAGACCGAGTGCAGTGCCAGCAGGAGAGCAAACATTGCTGGGCTAAAGCCTCCATAGAAGTCAAGAAGGATTAAGGTGCAGCTGAAAGTAGAATTAGGGTTCCTAAATCACCACCGAGCTTTTCTGTTCACATCAAAACCGTAATTTATCGACAGAGGGGTCAAACTGTAAAATATATGTGCTAGTGAGTTGTGTTTCAGTGAAACTGCAAACTTGTGTTGATGGGGAGATTCTTATAAGTGTTCCCCGTGTGCCCATGGCCACAGAAACTCCCTGAAAGGCTAAAGATGTGTGTGGCAACAAGCACTGACATTTTATACGTTTACATCTGTGTGTGCTGAAATTGTCTCTGTTTACCCCAAAAAGATCAGGGGCACTTTGCAATATGAATTTGAAACGCTCTGGGAAAGGAGGTCCAGGTGCACCTGGGCACTTTGGAAGAGGGATTGGCCCTGTCCATGGGGAAATATGTCTGTCTGCACCTGGTGAGATGAGAGCAGATAAAGAGATTATCAGGTAGTGACAAGAAAGAAAATAGGTTAGCTGAATTCCTCCTTATCACTTCTTCTCCCTCAAGACGTCTCACTGAATATCTTGTCATTCATACTGAGAGGCTGGAAGGAAAAATCACTTTTAAAGGTGACCCACAGAGGTAAAACCAGCCCAAAATGGTGCTCGTGTGCTTCTTTTGCCCCTGGGTGACACAGGAATCAGTCTGGTGTTTACAGTGTGTGGGCTGTAACATTTGGGAGAGCAGGAAAAGTGGGATTAGAGCTCCAAAGTCTTTTCCATGCTTTTGCTGATCCCAGTGGAGCATCCTGTGACCCAGCTGGAGGTGGGAATGTCGAGGTCAAGAGCAGAGGTGTGTCCTGTCTTGTAGTAAAGATACAGAAATGCAGCTCTTGGTCAATGTGTTTAAAACAGGTGGAATGTATTGTGTAAAAAAAACCCCAGAAAACAGTTAAGGGATCTGTTTCCTCTTGGATGTGCTTTTCTTCCACGAGTCTTTTTTATTTATTTTTCTTTAAAGGAAAGTAACTATTGAAAATCACTTTGAAACGTGTTTCATGTTAGTAGAGCAATAATGTAGGTGGTGATTGATAAGATTTATTGTTTCTGGGTTTGTGTTATCTTGTGATTCTGAGGAAAGCTGAATCTTATCTGTTTGGTGCTGTATAAACACTTAACAACTTCAGAGAGCTTGTAATGTAAGCAGACGAGAAAGGCAAAGGAAGAGAGGAGAAATGTGCAGAAAAGTGCCTCGTTCTAAGGCCACAAACCAGATTTAGAATAAAAATCAGATCTTCTCACTTCAGCCCGTTTTTTTTCTATTCCATGGGGTATGTTGCTTTTGTTATTCAAATATGGAGAAACTTCTCCTTTTCCAGGTGAATGAAGGGCAAGGGGAATGAGATCAGACAGAAACTCAGCATACAAGGGAAAAAAAAAATAAAGCAAAGGAATTGTACTGATAAAGGTACTGGTTTTAGATAAATTCAACATGTGACATGCCATTACTCAAATCACAATTCTGTCTTTATTTCTAGATGCAGTAAAATGGGGAGAAGGATTCAGATGTAAAACTACAACCTGACCATGCATTGAGGAGGAAACAGCCACATGTACTGGTTAGAAATGCATATTTCTATTTTCAATTCAATATTTCTGGTTTGGATGTTGATTTTATTTGCCTCTTTTTCTGAGCCATCACAGTTCATTGTAACCATTCTGGACCCGTTTGATGCCATTTCTGTCTGGAAGAAGATCTCTATAAAAGCACAAACACGTGTGTGTGTGTGTGTGTGTTTGTGCATTTAGGTGTGTTCTGGAATGATTCCCTGTGATTTTAATTCCCTGGAGGGTGTGGACATGCTTTGAGAGCCTGACAGCTCCGAGGTCAGATGGAGCTTGTTTGTCTTCTCTTTTTGCAGCTCAAGCAAACATTGGTTATTGTGCGTGGAGCCGAGCCCTAAGCCTGGCTTTATCCTGTTGTAACAACTAATTGGTGAGGAAATTGTGATTTTACATTTTAAAAAGCCCCTCAGTTCTGGAGAAAAAGGTGCTGTGACCATTCTACCCTGATTATTTCAAGGTCAGTGTCCCCTTCTGCTCTGCAGCAGCTGCTGGTGGCCATCAGGGCAGGGATGGATTTCCTTGGATTTCCTAAAAGTTGAAGAGAAATAGCGGAAGAGCAGGGCCTTTGTGGTGGCACTGCCAAGCACTGTTCAGCAGGGAAAAAAGGCTTTGGAGCTCTGCAGTTATTTATGGCTTGGACCTGTCCAGGACAGTTTGTTTCCATGGGATTTTAGTGCTCAGGGACCCTTCCTGTAGGGAGATGTGCCTGGAGGAAATAATCACACTGGCAAAGGGGTTCTGTCTGTTTGTTTAACTATTTTAAAATCCTATTCAGAAAAAAAAAAAAAAAAAAAAAAAAAAAAAACCCCAAAAAAACAACAAAACACCTCCTCTAATTCTATTTTCTTTCTGTTTGTGGCTGCTGAAAAGGGAGTCTTGGTTACCAATATATTCATTTCCCATGAACTTTTATTAACAGGAGCTTCAAGGCAAAAGCTTTGTCTATAATGGGAATTATTTACTCCATAATTTCCTTTGGAGCTGCTATTTTTTAGGATTTTGTGCTCTTCTCGCTGGCCTTGACTACTGTAGAGGGCAGGTTTCTTATGTATCTGCTGCTGAATTTCATTTTGAGAACTTCTGTGGTCTGTAAAAATCAGAATGATAAAGTTATTGACAAAATGAAGTGTCTCTGGATAGTGTTTAAAATGTTTTAGAATTTTTTTAAAATTCTTTTCTTATACCCACTGATAAATGGATTTTTTCCATTACAGATGGTGATTGTTCCAAGTAGAAAATAATTTACTAATTTCTGATTAACCCCAGCTAATCAGGCAGGCAGCAGGATCCAGCTGCTGTGTAAGTCCAGATCTCCATAAAATCTGGTTATATTTCCATTTATCTCATTGTGGGAGCAGCTCTGAATGAAAAACTGACTTCCTGGTGTGTTTGGGAGTTAGCTGAGAAACTTTCCCTCTTTCCAGACCATCCCACTGGAAAGGCCAGCATGGAAGTCTGGCTGGTTTTGGGGTATGAATGAAAAAGAAGAAAGATTTACTCTGCTTTTCTTGGGGGACAATCTGTGTTGTTTCTTCTTGCACACCTCCAGAACCTTCTCCCACCTTTTGTCTTTTCTTCTTGCTCACCTCCAGAACCTTCTCCCACCTTTTATCCCCAGCCCTTCTCTCTGGGAGGGTGTCCCATGGGCTGAGCTGTTCCATTTCCAGGGAGGAGCACGGGAAATGCAGGTGCAACATTCCAAGTGCACACCTGAGCAGGTTCCTGTATGGAATCACAGAATCGTTTAGGCTGGAAAAGACCTTTAGGGCCATCAAATCCAACTGACTGCTGAGGCCACCACTAGCCATGTCCCCATGTCCCCAGGTGCCACATGCACGTGGTTTTTGAATATTAAGGAAGTGCTAAAGTGCTGCAGAGCTGGAGCTTGGCTGTGCCTGCAGTGTGGATGTTTGGAACTGGAATATTTCTTGCCTTTGGGTCCCAGCTCCAGCCACCCACTTTAGTGTTTTTGTGCTGTTTCCTCTCTGTCTGAGCTGTTTCTCGGGGCAGGGATCAGCCTCGTGACCTCCCTGCCCTGCATGACCAGAGAATGAACCCAGAGCCATTCAGATGGGGCTCCAGACTGGAGTTAATCTGTGCTGCCCCACAAATAACTGCATTTACTCACACAGGGGCTTTTATTTATGCATTTCTCCTCTTTGTCAGAGAGAGGAATTGTAATTAAGATTTCATTGCGAGATGAACTCCCTATATTTAGAGCATTATTGGTGAATATATTACCTTTTAAAAGATATTTGGCAGTGGGAAAGTTGATAATCGTTCATTTTCATTGAAAATTCAGGGCATGATATGTGAAGCTGTGTTTATGAGGAGGGTATGTGGTCCTGTCATTTTCTACTTGCTTAAAAGCTACATAAGTGGTTGAGGAAGCTCCCATCCTGAGGAGAAGAAAGGGCTCATTAAAAAGATTAGCTCATAGAGAACAAATTAAACTTCAGTGCCCTGCATAAAGATTATAATAACTGTAATAATAAATGAATTAATAATGCATTAAAGGAGAATTCCTCCAGTCAGCTTGTCACACGCTTATCCTTGAAAATTGACTTCAGCGACGAGTGTCACATGAGCTAATGACCTTAACTGATGGATTTGGGATTTTTCCACACTCCAAAATCCACTCAAACCCATATTTCTATACTTTTGACAGTTAGTTTTCTGGATAGAGATGAAATCAGTTGGGCCATTTGGTGCTGCAGGCTGGGTAAGGGAAACTCTAGTTTTAACCTCAGGTAGTCAGAATTGGTAAATCCTGAACCCTTGGAAGGGGAAAAATTGGCAATCCAGGGCTGGAGGCTGCACAGCTGCACCAGAGGTGAACATCTTGGGCTGATGTGGGATACAGAATTTATGTAAAACTGCCACAAAGTAGGTTTAGATAAAATATTTGGAAGAAATAATCCCCTGGGAGGGTGGGCAGGGCTGGCACAGGGTGCCCAGAGCAGCTGTGGCTGCCCCTGGATCCCTGGATGGGGCTAATAAAAATAGCTAATCAAAATAAATTTGAAAGTTTTGTTCTCACTGTTATAAATATGAAATTATCAGGATTTAGGAATTAATTACCAAGTTCAGCACTGAAATAGGAGGCATCCATAGGGTTTTAATTGAAGAATTGATGCTGAGGCATCTCTAGACAGCAGAAAAGTGAGAGTTTGGGGATTTCTGCTGTCTCCCCTGGGTCAGGGCTGAATTTCTAATGGTTATTGCACTGGGGAAAAATTGAATTAAGAGAATTGATTCAGACATGGTAAGCCAAAGCTGGTTGTAAAATGCATCTTTAGGCACCTGGGTACCTTTAAAATTAATCCATTATTCACTCCTGAAACTTCAACCTGCTCCTCTAAACCCAGGCACTGCTGAGGATGGAGTTTATATGAGCTGTGAGGTGGTTAATTTTTAGAATCATGCAAGAATTGAGGCTGGAAGGGACCTGGAGAGGTTCAAAAAGGAATCTGTGGTTCCAGAGATTACAGGGAACACTTGCCCTATTCCTACAGGATCATGGAATGGTTTGAGATATCTCAATCCATGGGCAGGGACATTTTCCAGTTGCTCAGTTTATAATGATGATGTCACACTGGTGCTTCTCTGTGTCCCCAGTTACACCTGCAAACAGGTATTTGGAGGTGTTGATTTAACACTGAGCTTTGCCTGTGAAAGACATGAAAGCAAATTCCTTCTGGGATTTTTTTTTTTTTTAATTTGAAAATAACTGAATATTCATCTCTAGTGTTTTGTTGCTTTTATTGGAAGGGTATTTTTAATAAAAATCTCATTCAGTATAAAAAGGACAACATCAATGAGGTTCTTATCAGTGCTCTGCATCATGTTAATACCAGAGCCAACAATGAGTTGTGCAGGTATTATACCAGAACAAAGGAAATTATTCCGGGGATTTTATCAGAGAATATTTTGAGTTTGCTTGTCAAGCCATGCAATATGTGCTCTGCTTTATTTGCTGGCTGGTGTCAGAGCAGCTGAACAGTTGCTGGAGTTTGCACAGGGATTCTTTTCTCTCCCTGCACTGGTTTGCTTTGGCACAATATTTGATTCACGCCAGGAAAATAGTGAGATATCAAATAAAAGTGCTGCATTAATACCTGGAATTGTTACAGCTCATGCCTCTGCCTCATTTGAAGTAGTCACTCGGGGTGCTGGAAATACAATCCTCTTTTCCAGCAGTGAATTGTGCTGGATTTTGGAGCCGAGCAGGGAAAGCCCAGGCTGGCAGTGGTAATGAGAGAAGCACAGCCCTGCGTGCTGGGCTGGACCTGCTCCTCCAAACCTCCCTGACTCCTGCCCAGGACAGCAGAGTGCTGAGGTGTTCTTAAATTTCCAGTAACGAGCCTGGGCTCATTAGCACTCTCATCAAATGGCTTTCAGTTGCTATCAGTCTGACTTGGATTTGAATTGATGACCTTGAGATAAAAGGCTTTTTATTCTATTACCCATCTCCTGAGCCATCAAGCCTTTAATATGCCGTGTAAAATCAGTTTTCAGATGGTATTTCTTTTATATAATGTCATCATTTGTTACTAATGATGTCTGATTTTGGGTGCTACAAGCTATAATTGTGCACAATAGTACTTTTGTTATTCCTATTATTTCAGATTTATCTGCTGTATTACCAGATACTTGTAGACACAGAGAAAATAGATTGGTAATAGAGTGTAATCCAGTTTTATATAAACGAGTTAATAAAATCACATAAACATACAAAGTTAAATTCATCATCAGCAAAGCTCATCAGTTACTTTAGTAAATTGAAGGATAAAATTCTGCTTTGATGCTGAAATAAGCTTTACTGCAAAATGCTATATGGGACCACCAAATGTATGGAAAATTAAGGAAAACTGAGTAAGAATAGGTAATACAAACATCACAGTGAAGGAAGTTTTTTACATGCCACCCTTTTCCTCCTGAAGGCTTTTCCCTGAGGATAATATGGAGAAGATCATGTTAAAAACCCAATGTA